AGGGCGAAATTTCTAATGATCCGAACAAATTTTGGCAATTTGTTAAATATAAAAGTAATGGTACCGGTATTCCCTTTAATATGAGTCTTGGTAATGTAAACTACTCTGGACCAAAGGAGATAGTTGATGCGTTTTACGAAATGTTTAAGTCAGTGTTCACTCCTGTAACATATAACTTAGGGAACTATTCCAAGGAATCTCAGTCTTTGAGTCAATACGTGTCTTTGAAGTCTATTTCTGAGCAAGATGTTATTGAGGCAATATACCAATTAAAGCCCAAGTATACAGCTGGTCCTGACAAGATTCCGGCGATAGTGATTAGGGATTGTGCATTGAGTCTAGCTGAGCCTTTAACAGCATTATTCAATTTATGTTTGAGAGAAGCTAAATTTCCTGATGAGTGGAAAAAATCGAAAATTGTCCCTGTCTTTAAGAGTGGTGATAAGTTTTGCATTGAGAATTATCGCCCAGTGTCTCTGATTAATAATTTTGGAAAGGTTTTCGAATTTATTATTTACAAACAGCTTTTTTCCCAATTAAAATGTTATTTTAATGAAGTACAACATGGCTTTTTTCCTGGGAGATCGACAGTAACGAATTTGTGCGCAATCACACAATATATTTCGAAATCAATAGACCTGAATTGTCAAACTGACGTTATTTACATTGACCTGTCGAAGGCTTTTGATAAGTTAGACCACGATCTTCTTTTGTCAAAACTTAGTAATATTGGCTGTTCCCCAAATGTAGTTGAATTTTTCTCCTCTTACTTGTGTAGAAGAAAGCAGCATGTATTTGTTCATGGTCATTCCTCTCAAGAATTTATAGCTCATTCAGGGGTACCGCAAGGTTCTGTTCTTGGACCACTGTTGTTCAATATTTTTATAAATGACATAATGGCTGCACTGAATGTACCCTGTTTATTATATGCAGACGATATCAAAATATATACCACCATTTATGGTATCGAAGATTGTGAGAAATTACAAAAAAATCTTAATATTGTATCTGATTGGTGTGAACTAAACCAACTTCACATTAATAAAAAAAAGTCAGTGGTGATGTCTTATGGTCTCAAAAACAATACATTCCTTTTTAATTATGAGTTAAAGGATTATTTGTTGGATAGACCGGAAGTGGTCAAGGACTTGGGTGTGACATTCGATAAGAAATTGTGTTTTTCGGATCATATTGAGAGAACGGTAAACAGCTCTATGAAAATTTACGGATATATAGTGCGTACTGCAAAAGAATTTTCTAATAATTTGACTTTAACAAGAATATTTAATTCGTTCGTACGCAGCAAACTTGAATATGCGTCGGTTGTTTGGTTCCCACATCATAAAAACCATACAGAAAATTTAGAGCGCGTGTTGAGACGGTTTTTAAAGTACCTTTGCTATCGAGTGGACGGAACTTATCCTCCTGTTGGATATTCATATTGCAGACTTTTGGAAAGGTTTTCATTTCAAAGTCTTAGTGAAAGAAACAAGACAGCAAAAATTATCTTCCTGTATAAAATTTTGAATTCTGTTTTCGACTGTCCATGCTTACTGGCACAAATAAGTTTCCATATAAACGTAAGAGCATATAATACAAGGAATATGTCAATTTTTTATATTGGAAAGTCTCGTACGGATGTCTTAAAATATTCTCCTCTATGGACAATGTGTCGCTTAGGTAATTATGCCCATAATCAGACAGATCTGTTTACAACTAATGTATCGGAATTGAAGAAACTCGACTTCTCCGAATTATCTTAAAAATTATGAATGAAAACCTAATTGTGATATATATATATATATAATAAAGTTGAAATGATCAGATGTATGTTCTGTAATTGGAGTTTTGCTCCGTTGGACATACTGCATAATAATAATAATAATAATAATTCTCTTATTTTTGTACAATAATTTCGGACAACACGATTGCGGCATTCAATTTTTCGATAAAATAATTGGGTCCGTAGTGCCTTGCAGCACGATTTTTTTCAAACGCTGCTGTCTGCATCACCAATGATTCTTTTAAATCTTAAATTGTGCACTTTTTCTGAATTTTTAAAACCATCTAAAATTTTTGAAACACCTATGTAACGAAACCTTGTTTTTTAATATAATACTCCTACATAATTGAACGATTCCACAACCTTCAGGTAGAACACACCACACTCACCTCATTTGCATACTTTCTCAACAAGGGTTTTAAATCCGTTTAATCTCTCAATAGTGGCCAACCCTATCGTAAATCATACACTCTCTTGACTCGCATTGTTAGACACTGGCAGTCAATCTCATTTCATAACTGAAAACTTATGCAAACAATCAGATTTAAAAATTCAAAAGTGTCAATCCTTTGAATAAATAGCCAATCATGATTGACTAAGTCTGCTGTTTCATCTCCATGAGAAGCAATATTTGGGGCCGAATTATTCTTAAATTTGCTTACTTTCGGAAATACAAAAAACTAGGTAAAAATCATTCTGTTTTACAAAATAGTGTCTTGGGATGGATTATCTCAGGTAAAATTCCGAGTTTTAACAATAAATTCTTGCACTGCTATAAGATTATTTAGAATCAGCTGTTACCAGGTTCTGGGAATTAGAGAACCTCGAACCCGAGGTAGTTGTCCCTTCTGTCAATAAACTGTCTTCCAAAGACATTTATGAAGCTCACTTTTATGGCACTACCAAAAAATACAAAAATTAGGAAATTTCCAAGATTTAACCATGAAACGGTCGTTATCTTTTGAAAGGAAACTTTCCCGAGACCATAAACTATAAGAGCGGGTTATGTAGCCTTTATGAGGGAGTAGGTACTTAGAATTAGGCCACATGGAACACTCAGTACCTGCTGACCTTTAGGAATGTTCTTATTACCTGCCCCATAGTGGGGTTATAAACGAAAATAGTTCATCAACAAGACTAGCCGTTATGAAAAATCTAGGCAATATAGTTAAAAAACAACCAGAGATCAGGGGCAATCTAAGAGCACAAGAATTGAAATATTCGGAAATTACAATAATACGATTAGTTCAAAAGGAGGTGTTCTCTTCTGAAATTCATCAGTTAACTCACAGTAAAAACTTGTTAACAGTAGTATTTTACAGCTTAATCCGTTTTTAGATTCTATCTAATGAGTTGCTCATTTCGCATTATGTGTGTGTATACGCCTTACATCTACTTTTTTTTGCTTCCTTTATCTTTAAAGAAACCTTTTTGATTTCTTCTTCAGCTTCTGTTCCAAGCATTATTCTTACAATTGCTGCACAAGCTTGTCGAATTAACGTTTCCGCAATTGTATGAGGTCTCATGTCTTTCGCTATAATTTCCGCAACCAAATGACGTGCTCTTTGGACCCGATCGGAAATTTTGAATTTTTTAACAAAGGTCGTTCGGTGTTTCTGCAGCGACTCCAGCGGCCTTTTAAAATAGTTCCCGAAACATGTTTGTGTTTTGCAGAAAAATGACGTATCAGTTTACTTCGGACATTTGCTTCATTGTACAAGTCCTCTCCATACGGAATAAAGACAAGTTTCTTTTTCGCACTTTATTAACAGGCGGAAAATAATAACTAGTGCTAGCTTGTGGGGCATCCTCAAAGCTGTCGTCCTGATTATTGAATTTCTTTTTTTTTATTAAAAATGTATTCATTGTTAAAAATATTTCCATTACTGAACAGTTGTATCATATTAATAAAATCCTATCATCATCAATTTTTAAAGTTGGTTTTGTGCCTGCATTTATTAAAATCATTATAAAATGTTCGTGGCACCCAATTTGCGAACCACTGTTTTAAAGCATACTTCTCAACCGGTGAATCTGGTTTATTTATTTAACCAAGAACGGCTCACTTCATTTACTGTTATTATTAGTATTACACTACACCTATCCAAACTGATATAAAAAGTTTGTAAGGGAAAAATTCATTTGAAACATACCCATAGCATGCTTCTTTATATTTACTTTAAGATTACATACATATCTTTACTTTAACTTTTAATCGCAAAATAAAATTTTATAATTCTTCGAAAAAACTGCATATGTTTTCTTGTACTTCAGGGGCGAGGGAAGACTGGGTGGTCAACGAGGCGCTTTAAATTATATTATTATTATATTAACTTAATGGAAAATCTAACATAAATCTGACAATATTAATTTTATTAAATATATAACATATCTAGATAAGGAACCATGGAGGTATCAACGCAAAATTTTATGCTGTCCAAAACAACGATGTGTATTGATGGTTGCGTTTCAACTGTTCTTTTAATACATATAAACTTCAAAATTATTTTTATATATGTTATCAACATACAACAACGATGTGATTATGGTCTTTATCAACACGATTTGTTGACAAAGTGTTTGGGTGCGAATAACGTCACCTAACTGTGATATGGTTAAATTTACATAAGTTCTTTACTTATTACATTTTCGTTGAAAGTAACCCATAATGATAAGGTAATGAAACAGGTTGTACGTAATGCATATCCTTCAAAGTAGATAGTTTAAAATGGTCACTAAACCGTACATTCAATAAATCAATCTACTATTAAATGTGCATTACGTTTTTAGAATTATTGAGATATCTAGCTAAAGCTGTCTTATCAGTCAGTAAATTCACTTCTGACTAAAAATAGTAACCAATTTTCACGGACGAAGGACTGGATTCTACTATTGTAAATACCGTTCAAAAACTAAATTGTTACCAGTTGTTGCTATATCAAATAATTTCACGACTACAGATTATAGAAACAATCAACTCCTTATTTGAATGTTTTTAGTCGATGTATTGATTACATTAAATATGTATAAAAAGATCCTATTCTGTTTTTTTTTTGTTCTACTTTTAGCTACGGGTATTTTGGGTTGCATACTTTCACTTCTGATTTAATATGGAAACCCAACTCGCTGATTATGTAACGCACCAGTAGTTTTGATAAAATTGTCATTATTTTGCTGCTTTCGAAACGACATGTGCCATATCACACCTATCAAATTGACAAACGTTCCGATAATAAAATTCCTATCACCCGACGAGTGCACTGCACTGATCTAGTATAATCTGTCTCCAATAAATTAATCTCTTGATCTCTTGTGATCCCACTGTAATTTTCCTCCACTTTTAGTATACAAACATATCATTTGAATAAACAACAATCAAGATAACACTTTATCTAAACATTTAAAAAACAACCTCGTGATAGTCGACACAAAATTAACAGTTACTCAAGCATTCACACACCATGAGTCTGACAATAGAAAACATCAAAATCGTCTCCTTCGACGTTAAAGACATTCGATGGCCGACATCTCTGGAAGCCCATGGCTCGGACGCAATGGTAAAACCACCTCTAGCATTTCAACCACCAATCTTTTTTTTTCAGCACACGGATCCGGACTACTCCTGCGCTTACGTCACCCTCAAACTCAAAACGGGCCTGGAGGGCCACGGTGTGACCTTCACTTGTGGCAGAGGCACCGAAATCGTGGTGGAAGCCTGCAAGTCGCTGAGTGACCTAGTGGTAGGTCAGGTCGTCAGTGACATCTTCAAAGACTTTGGAACGTTCTGGAGGAGTCTGACCAGCGAGAGCCAGATTCGGTGGGTGGGGCCAGAAAAAGGGGTCACCCATCTTGCTACGGCCGCTATTATTAACGCTCTGTGGGACTTATGGGGGAAACTCCTGAAAAAGCCGGTATGGCAGCTTCTGGCGGACATGGAACCGGAACAGTTGGTTTCGGTGATCGACTTCCGGTATTTGTCGAACGTCATCACGAAGGAAGAAGCGGTGGAGTTGCTGCGGAAGGGGCGCGCGGGGAAAGAGGATAGGATGAACCAGCTGCTGGCTCTGGGATACCCCGCGTACACCACCCAAGCAGGTACCATTTGTTAAAAAAAATCCCTGAAAAATTGGCACTGTTGGAGTGTTATCAACGGTTTTATAATAACCAGATGCAGATGTCTATAAATGTTTGTAACATGTAAATACTATTCGTCATAACTGATAAAACGATGTGTAACGACAGTTGCATTATATTATGTTTCAACAAGACCGTGAAAGCTTAGAATCAAAGATGGCAGTCATTTTTAGACACTAAAAGCTGTAATGTTAATGAGCACCTCATGTGATTTTATAATATAGTATCAAATCAGCCCCAAGAGACGCGTTTTCTAGCAAACACGGCCAGTAGATTCACTATCGCGTTTTGATTTCTTTTTAAACAAAGTACCATTTCGGTAATTTCATGTCTACGACAATCGATACCAAAAATTGTACAGTTGTGAGAGGTTGTCTTGATTCAATTATCACAAATTGATATTCAGATCGAAGCCCGCCCGTGATCACTAATTCTTCTAATATCTAGCACATTTTAGGATGGTTGGGTTATTCCGACGAAACTATCGTCGACCTTGCACATAAATACATGGACCAAGGATTCACAGCGTTTAAAGTTAAAGTCGGAAAGAATCTCTTTCAAGATATCAAAAGGTTGGAACTCATTCGCAACACCATTGGCTGGGACCGGATTTTAATGGTAGACGCGAATCAAGTCTGGGAAGTACAAGAGGCCATCGACTGGATGAAGCAACTAGCACACTTTAAACTACTCTGGATTGAAGAACCTACTTCACCTGATGATGTTCTCGGGCATGCCGAAATCGCGAAAGCATTAAAACCTACAGGAATTGCTGTAGCGACTGGCGAAATGTGCTGCAATAGAGTTCTGTTTAAACAATTCCTCCAAGCGAATGCTTTAGAATATTGCCAAATTGACTCGGCTAGAATCGGAGGTGTCAATGAAATCTTGAGCGTGTATTTAATGTGCAAGAAATTGGGAGGTTTGTGGGTCGAAATTTACGAACTTCGGTAACTTTTTATTTTTAGTTAAGGTATGTCCTCATGCTGGCGGGGTTGGGTTGTGCGAAATGGTACAACACTTGCAAATGTGGGACTACGTGGCGCTGTCTGGAACCATGGATGGGCGCTTTATCGAGTACGTCGATCAGCAACATGAACAGTTCGTGAACCCTACAATCGTCGAAAATGCTTGCTATTTAGCTCCAAGGGTGAGTTTGTGCTTCAATTAATCTCTAGTTTCATAGCGTGTTTTAGACTCCCGGATACAACACAACTCTAAAAGATGACGCTGTTGCTCAATACGAGTACCCTCATGGAAGCGTTTGGCAAGAAATGTTTGCTAAGGGAATTTTCCGTAGTCCAAGAAAAAATAAATAACTTTATTGTTTACACATGCTAAAAAATAAAATAGGTGTCGTAACTCATACGCGTTTACTGAACATGAAACGATCTAATTTCCTCTGTTTTCCTTTACGTTCTTCAGTCTCGGTAGAATCCGGCTGTTTCCGTTTTTCGTTGTCGCTATTTTTGGCTTTATTCTCTTTGGACTCGTAATCTACACCTGCGTACTTGTTAACAAGACTAAGAGGGTTGCTGGAGGTTTCTTCGTTCTTTGAATTTTTGGAAAATGGGTTTTTCGGCTCTTCACTAAACGATTCGTTAATGGTGGTGTTCGTAATATTTATACTTGACTCAGAAACATGAGAGTCGTCCGGAGTCGCCGGGACAATCTAAAGTGGAAATAAAATTAAGTCAACAACCACAAAAATTTCCTGGTACATCTAACGTTAAAAAATAAATACTTTTTACATGTGTAACATTAAAAAAAATACCGTTTCGTTTATCTCGCGATTTCTGGGAGTCTTCTTCGAGCTCAAAATAAATTTCCGGGTCACGCTAGGTGTGGTTGCTGCGCCCTAAACAACAAATGTCACTTGCGTCACACTAACAAAAATACTCACAATAACAAAACTTGTATCCTCAGCTTCCCCCACTAATCTTGACCCCAACTCCATCAACTTCTCCCCAATCAGTCTTTTATTCATCTTCAAGGCATACTTTGTCGCCAAACTGACCAACTGTGGATTCGCTAGAATCTCCATAAGTTCCACAGCTCTCTGATCCAAACCGTTCTTACAAGCCAACTACAAACCTCTCATTAGTGTTTAGTCTCCAATCGAACTCAACTCACCGCGAACGCTTTCAGACCCGACTCGTTAAACTTCTTGCCCAAATCTCTAACCTCCAAGTTCGACCAAGCGAAAAGGTTCATTTCCAGTTGAGTCTTATCGGTCTCCGGTTCAGCAAACGGTGGTTCAAGAACCAACTCACAAATTGTGGGTTTGGGAGTGAATCCTGGATAAATGGAGCCGCGACACTTTATCCCGAAAATGGTTTGACACGACTCCATTATAGCCGTGACGAAGAAACCATCGGATGGGCTTTTCAGGTGTCTGGTGGTGTCACAGAACGGTACCCATATGTTTTGATTGGTTGGGTGGAGACTTATCATCCCTAGGGAATCCATCATTGCGGGGGTCCCCAAGTCGGTGAATCCTAACCACAATAGGGTCGATTCTGGCCCCAGAGCTGCGTTAATGTCGCGGCTTTCCATTGTTAAACCCGAGAATTTGATAAGTTTGGTGTTTATACATTGGTCGGATTTACGAACAGGAGCGGAGTGGTAGGATACGAGGAGAGAGTCTTGGTGGCTGGAAAGAGAAACTGGAGGTCCTGGGATGGATAAAACACCTCTTTGTATACCGAAAACTGAACAAATCCTAACCAGGTAGTTATTAGTGGCTAAACAAACAAGCTTCTCGGATGCTGTTATAAGGGTGATTTCTTCCAAGGAGTCGTCAATTTTCAGCACCCATTCTTTGGAACTAGCGCTTAGTGGTATGACGGTTAATTGTCTAAAATCGACACGTGTTTAGAGAGTTTAAGCAAATTGTAGACATACTTTGCATTTGCTACTGCCACCACTGCTGTACTAACACAGCCCATGGTGTAGTCTTGATAATTCTGTAACATCATGCTATTATGGAATGTAGAATTATGAAACTCGATTTCTATGGATTTCCCTGAATCTTCGTCTGCTAAACAACCGTAAGATCTTATAATGGCGACGTCGTTCCAACATAGATATCGTGGATTTAAATGTTCGGGAGTTGACGAAGGCATGAAGGATGGCTGTAGGGGCATTTCAGGTGTTCGAGGTCGTGGAGTTGGCGCCGCGGAAGATTCTAAACATACAAATACATCACAGTAATGCACCTGAGTCACTAAGTTTACCTGCGAAGTTATTAAAGTATCCATACAGTAGGCAATTCCACGATTTTTATTTTTTCTACTTATTAAAATAATCAATTGCTATAGTGTTCCAAAGGTGCTTATTTGTCTAGAGAAACTTCTCATTTGAAATTAGGTTCCGCCTCTCATTTGATGGTGAGAAACTCATTTAGATGAGAAAGAATGAGTGGGTGAGGCATTATTTAAAGTTTTTTTTAAGAATAGTCTGTTTTCAACAATGTACTGTTTAACATTAGTCGAAAAAGTCAATTTTTTCTATAAAAATGTTTCATCTGCACCTTAGTTTCGCCTTCGTTTCATGACGATGACAAAAGTTCATTAAGGCGGAGTCTAGGTGGGTGGGCGGGGCACTTCTCCTATTAAAATAATCAATTTCCAACGATAACCTTTCAAGAAAGTGTTTCAAAAGGGGTTTGTCTACAGAAACATCTCATTTGAAATTAAGCTGCGCCTCTCAGTTCACGCAGAATAAAGAAACCCATTTAGGTGATCTATGACCCAAAATATTAAAAACAAAATTTACTACAATTACAAGAGATCCATTTGCTAGAAGCGACAAATATTTTTAATGAGAATAAACAAAACTGTTTAAGTTCGATACCGATATTTCCTAAGAGCTAGGAAATTGTACATATGTACTGTAAGTATGAAAAACTTTGAAAAAATTGTTCTATACTTGACGTAAAAAATGAATCAGTTCCGGTGATTCCCACAGAGTTGTTTGAAATTATTTTATTTAACGATATTGACTGTTATTTTTTACAAGAGTCAGCAAATTACCCGCATAATGATATACGAAGTGAACTATACTTAGCTGGGTTAACAGAGTTTATACATGTTGAACGCGTTTATTGTAAGTAGAATTTGCTGTTTTTCATTTAGCTATTTTTTTTTTAAATTTATACTAAGCGATAAACGTAGCTGCCCATTTTATAGATAATTAATGTACGAAGTTATTCTGGTGTTTCTCAAGGTTACAAAGTAATATTTTTATTGTTTTCATTTTTGTTAATGATGTAACATGTCTGTTTTTACCTACTGTCGATTTAATTTCGTTGGTAATATCAAACTGTAAGAGGTTACAAAATATTATTAACAAAACAATTCGTTAGTACGAAATCTATAAATTAATTATCAAGTTTATAAATAGTGTCTTGTGTCAATACCTGGAAAAATGGTCACAATACAAAAGTAATGATAATATTGAAAGATCACAAACCAGATTTTATAGTGAGCATACTGTAAGTATTTGTTGTTTATGATCAGTTTCACTTATTTATTTTCTGGATATTATATCTAGAGTTCGGAAAAAGTGTAAAATGCGTGTTAACGCGCGTTTGCAAAAAAAAAACGGATAACTTTAAATTATTAGTTTGAATTCAATTTCACGTTAATTTTGAGTCACCCACCACGAACTAAGTTCTGACCTTTCGGTATAATTCAAATGTGAAACACTTACTTTTTTTTAAAGTAATACATATAAATATAAATGCACATGTATGAAAGATCATACTTTAATACATGTATTTCTACCGCATATTTGCAATCATACATATTTTTAGATTCTGTTACGCAATTTTCCAAAGTGTTTTAATGGTAAGAAAACAAGGTTATTATTGTGATTTACATTTGAACAGAATTAATAAAAACAGTACTCTGGTATTAGCAGTAATTAAAACGCCAACACTTTCATCGTTACGTTGATTAATACTGTTAACCCATTACTTATGGTTACCTGCCTTAAGCACATTCACTAAGTGACGTGATCCCACGAAATTAACGTTGAGTATTATTTATTACCTTCAAAATTTAACTCTGGTTCCGGTTCTCCCATCACTTCTTTCTTCAGTTTTTCAACTGAAATAGCATTCTCATTATCGTCATCATCTGATTCGATTTGAATATCGCCAAAATCGAGTGCGTGTTCCGTAAATACGTCATCGTCTGTACTTTTGACTTCTGTACAGCCTGAAGCCAAACCTAACTGGCCCTCGACATCAGTATATACGATTTGACCATTCCCTTAAAAATCAACAATACTTTCCAGACACACCGACTTTTTGTATTTACCGGAAGGATTCCACATCAGTCCACATATGGAGGTGGAATTTGGGTGTTTGCTCACCTTTCGCACCCCACGAATACTAACGTGAAAAATAACAATATCGCCTTTGGTGGTAGTAGCTGCCAAATATTGGCCACAGGGCGACCACTGAACAATAGAATAGTGATTACTAACATCCGTACTATTCAAAGTAGAACTTTGTGACCAATCAGAAGTGTTTAAAACCACGACTGTGTCTTTATCCGGGTACGCTAAAGCACTACCATCGGGCGAAAAATCAATCCGACCTAAAACTCTCCACTTACTTCCACAAAAGCACAGTGTGAAAAGCACATACAAAGCAACTCCGCATTTGCAAAACTGTTGACTTTGGGGAAACACTCAATTTCCGTTTTTAGTGTTTTACTTCCCACATCCCACACTCTCAATTTGCCATCTCCCGAACTCGCCGCCAGGAATCTCGATGTGACGGCAACACTCAAACAGGGTCCCGATAGGCCGTCGAATATTTGCCCCTCGTTTCCTGACTGAGCTAAATCGAACAGTTTCGCCTCCATGTCTTCGCCGGCTAGGGCGATGTGCTACAATTTGACTTATCATTTCGAGTTGGTGATGCGGATTTTGTTCACCTCGCTGTCTCTGCTAAGAGAAATTTGATTAATGGGGGCAACGAATCTGTCTAAAATGCCGTTTCTTTCACCGCCTGGAAAGGTGAGGATTTGGACGTCGTTGTCGGACGTGGCCAAATATAGGTTTCCGTTTTTCTCGCGGACGCTTAGGGACCATTCTCCTATGCAGTTGTGGGAGGGATCGGTGCCCTCTTGGGTGGACCAGATTCGGACGTCTCCGTCGGCGCCACATGTAATGAATTTGCTGGAAAAAAGAGGTCGCTCGAAAAGTTAACTACATCTTTGGATACAGAGATGTCACTTTAATTCGCCTTATACAGGAGGTCACTGTGCTCATCTCCATTGCATTTTATGTGAAAGACTTCATGGTGGTATTGCCAATCTGTTAAAAGCACCTCGATTTGACAATAAAACGCAGTAACAAAATGTCTCTACAGAATTTAACAAAAATAGTAAAAATCGATATTCCGAATTTTAAAGATGTGGATTATTTTTGATTTTGTAAAGAAAATGCTATTTAAATTTGGTACTCCCCTATACCTATAATAAGACGCTCTCTTGCTTGTTCTTTATTTTGGGAAAATAATTTAACAAATTTTGAAAAGTTGTCTTAGAAGATACAAACTCGACTGTTCCTATTATTATACCTTTAATAAAAATGTATTTGTTTATCTACTCCAAAATCTTGATGACGTCGTCTCAAAATTTTAAAAGATATTTTAACCCTGCAGTTTAATTGCTTTGAAATTTAGCATGTTGTACGGTTATCAACCAAAACTTGTATATTTATCCCCACCAAAATTTGATGATGCCATCTCAAAAGTTTGCCAAGTAAATCCGAAATTATCCTGAAATAATAAAGTTTTGCTTCGATTTTCAAGAATTACATAATTGTGCTACAATTGAGTTATTTTTTTTTTTACTTAAACACAAGCACAATAAAAATCATACTTTTAGGTATGAAATAAACTCAAAGTCTCATTTAACATGAAAGAAACTATTTTTATAATCTGGGAAACATGTTTCGATTTCTGCTGACTTTATCTTCATTCTGAATTAACTTAAAAATTAAATTCAGTTATTATAAACAACACTACTCCGTGTATTCATTAATCATGTAGGAACAACCGTTTCTCCAAAAACACGTGATTTACCTAAACGCATTCATAATTTATGTAAATCTCTGTACAAATGTAAATGCGTCCTATCTTTCGTCTACCTGCCCTATGTTCCTACTTTCTCTTTCAGTTTCTAGAATTTTCTAAACTCTTTCTTTACCTACTTCTACCTCTCCAAAACCGAATCCACATGTCGAACATCGAAACACCCCTCCTTATCTTCGCCCTCGAGCTCTCAAACCGTAAGCAACTGATAAAAATCTGAAAACCGTAACCGTCGCTATTTGTCAAAATCACCAACGATACCCACAATCATATAAGATACAAGACTGATCAATAACGTCAGTTGAATTCGAAACATGTTTCAAATAGAATAAAAATTGTTTGTTTCACTTAGAGTGAGTTTTTGAGATAATTTTAGCAAAGAAAAAAATATTTAGACAGAATTTTCTTCGTCCCAGAAGTGCATTTCAACCAAATAAAAAAATATGTTGCAAATTTTATCTTTTTTTTTTATGACAACCTCTATAAGTTATAAAATAAAGAGATGTGTGGACTGTTAAGTGTATAGTCAGTACATGCTTAACTTTGATTGTTTAGGTTTATAAAGGGAAAAAGTGCGACGATTATGCAGGCTGCCCAGTCAAAACACACGAGGCGAGTAAAATTAATTCAGCTACAAAAGAACAAATTGTTCTTAATATTATTTTGCATAAGTAGGGTTTATAATTATTTTTTTTAATATTATTATTTAATATCGACGGCCGTATTCTTAAATTTTTGTGAAAATGAGATGAATCGTTCTTGATTTGATCAATAAAAAAAAATTGTGAGCCATGAGTCAATCGAACCAATGACCTTCGCATTGGTAATTTAACATGTTTACGGTAGGATCATGGAGTTCACCACACGCCAGTGCTTTTATATTGATATAAAATGTGACGATACAATTCCTAGCTAAGCAAATCAAGGCGGTCTCATAAACCATTAGTATATTTCAGAATTTAAATGGTGTTTACTAAACAATATTTGAGAGGGCGTCATGAAATCGTTGGTGGGGATGGTTAGTTAAATTTTGGATAGTGTTTTACCGTATAGGACATTCCTAAAACACATTAAACTTTGGCAACAACCAATCCGGTAATCTCATAAAAATCGACGCAGACAAGAGACTACAGTTTTAAGTACAAGTGGACATTTGTTTTTCTGTTTTCAGCCGAAATACAACAGTGTTGAAAGAAAGGTAGAGAAAATCATTTTTATGTAATACACTGCCAGACAAAAAATCCCCAAAAAAAGTTATGTTTTCTGTTACTGAATACATCATGGTTTTGCTTTTCGGAATATTTTTTACAAAAGTTGGACCAGTTGCAGGTAAACAAAAAATTAGAGCGTCCGGGTTTTCTTGTCTGGCAGTGTATTTTAACTAACAATGGAAGTACATACTTGAACAAATGTTTAATAAATACCTTCGTATTTTTTTTAATACGAAATTTTGTTTAACCAATGACGAATCAATATGTAAAAAAATGATAGATATATTAATTTCGAATAAAACAAACGTCTTGATAAATTCATGTTGGACGCATAGTCATAGTTTTAAAAATAATGAAAACTGTATTGTTCTGTTTGAAAAGATTTGCATGCTTATGTATTACATAAGTGTTTGGACGGTTAAATCAAAGTGATACATCCTGTATATAATTAATAAAACGAAAAGCTATGCAACCAAATATACATCCAGGGTGCGCTGTAGCATCTAATTCACAATCACAAACAATAACAAATTTATCTTTTTACTAAATAGTACCATTGTATTGTTCTAGTGTTACACTGAATGAGTTGTTAAACTACAAAATGAGACTGTATAGAAAAAAGCGTATTTAAACAGGCTTTATTTAATTTTTTCACCTTGCTTTGTGTTTCAAACAAACGATTGGCCTCTGTTTTAGATGAAACATTCATCCATCACTTTAGTTTTTGAAACGATCTGAATTCTTTGTCTTATAAATTCTGCAAGACTTAATTGTTAAGTGAGCCCCCATATCACAAGCAAAAACCTTAGCGAAATAGTAAATCGCACTTACCTGCCATCCGAGGAGAAGCAAGCATCTGTGTGCCCCTCGTCGTGGGCATATCGCAACGGCTCGTGATTCATTTTCCAATTTTCACAATTTTTACCCGAAATTTCACATGTGAGGTTAAGCTACTGTCAACATATTAAAAAGCGCGGGAAGAGCTCCTCGACAACTCGACAACCTTAAAAATGAAAAATCACCAACTTGAAGGAAACAAGCGTCTTTTTACGCATTTCTGAGAAATCCTGATATTGCGTATCGTGACATTGTAATGTCAGAGGCGATTAATTAGTTTAATTGTGGGTTAATTGCAGCTAAAGTTCACGAGAAAACGTTTGTGTTGGCGAGCCTGGCGGGCGGCAAATGCGAAAAAGTCGTGATTGAAGCGTGCTTTGCCTTTAAGTAGAGTATATTGGTCCGAGTTGGCTTCGGAAACAGTTGAATGTTGTTTTAACAATGTCTTCATTTTTGCGACGTGAAAGTCCTCGGAGTCTTCGAAACGCGTAAAGAGGCGTGGTTTTCGCATTTCCACAACAGCGTAACATAAGTGCTGCATTCTACACGCGTAGTTTGTCAACAGTTTGGTAACTTTTATCACCGTCTCGAGAGGGGGGAGCTGGGCGAAGCAACGGTATTATTACAGTGCGCGTCCGCCATTTTGATGTGCAGAAGTGGGGATATAGTTAGCACCTAGCGTTGTACAAGAAATCCAGAAAAGTGGCCTAGAAAAACGGAATTAGCCCTTGGAAGTCGCGTCTTCACACCCTACGAGCCCCCTTCACACACCAGAGACCCAGTGAAGTGCAGTGTTTATGTGTTTTCGAGCGAAGAAGAAAGTGTGTCCAACTTGGAACCTAGCAGCGTGGCTCCTGCCGCTTCTCTTTGTTTCTGTCACGGTTTAGCTTAAGGTAAGTTCGGTCCAAGGGGGCTGCGGGGCCCGCGGCCCCCGCGGCGCCCGGGACGCCGAAGCCGCCGCACACGGCCCGGTGCCTCCTCTCCTGGCAATGACCCGCATTTGCCATGTCGGAGTCCAAACGACGCACCAAACTTTGCATTCACCTGCAAACGTTTTCTTGCTAAAATCGAAAACTACGCCGACCTTGATTCGTGCTCTAAGATAATGAGCAGGTGTAGAGGTTGCTTTTTATTTTACGCACATGGAGAGGAAATTATGCAACGGGAGGACTACGCAACCCCCTCGTTCCGTTAATTAATACTCGAATTATGAACATCACTAGTCGCTCGATTAACCGATTACCGAATGACATTTTCACCGGTTTGTTTGTTTTCATGGCTACTTGATTGTTTGGCACTTTTGACAGAACCATACGTCTTTGCCTTTAATTAATTACGACAGGTGTTTCGATAGTGTATTGAAACGCGAGGGATCGATAAAATTTGATTAAATGGGTCTCGTAATTGGGACACGTGTTAGACCTAATTTGCCAGTTTTATGCAAACAATACGATTTTTTAAAAACATCCACGGTGATTATAACTGGTTGTTCATCAAGCTGCCAACGAATTTACATAAAAAGAAAAAAAAATTACACTGTTTTTGCGGGATTTGGGATCGTAAACAATTTCCACGGTCGTCATTTTGTGGAAGTCGCGCCGTATAAATTTGACATTTGAAAGATCTCTGACCAATCAACGCAGTCATTAGGACAGATCACAAACTACAATGTATTTGTTTATACCATTTATTGACGTAATGTATTCTTCCCTTTATCCCTATGAAGAAAAGAAAAAAAGTTGCATGTATTCATTCATCTTTGAATCATTTATATCCGACGCATTTTTACGACAGTAACGGATTATTTATACCTATTGTGTGTTGATTTAATCTTCACTTGTATGAATAAAATAGTACTCCTAAATGTGCGGGAATAAAACGCACTAATAAAATTTTATTATAATCAACCAGTGATTTTTTCTTGAGTTTAATATTACACACCATATTGAAGTAATTTAGACAATATTTATAAATACTGAAACTAAAGCTAAAACCACATAACAGTGACAATTCGTGTTATTGTTCTTCGGAAAATTTAAAAAAATCTCTCAGTTGTTGTGGTCAAATAATGCTTAAATTATTATTAGTTTATTAAAAATTAAGCATTTAATAGCAGACATCTATCACGGAACTTATAGATTAAAAATGTATTGTAACCTCACATTTGTAAGTTCCCGCCGAGTTAATAATTTTATTCGAAAATCGCACCTTCATTTATATGCAACAAACTCTGCATTAAGAAGTTCTTTAAATGGTTTAAAAGATATAAAAAAAATGTCGTCGGTATGTTTTTAACATAGAACAACTGTTTTATCAACAAAATTAGTCAAATGACTATTTGAATTATTTTTAGTTACCGTATAGTGTTGCCACACGTGTATTGTATACAGTGTTAAAACAGGAGTAACATCTGGAACTAAAATAAATATAATTTTCCCCAAAAGTATTCGAACAGGGAAGTTAGGTTTTGGTCTGCTTTTTTGGGTGTTGCTCATTTGCTTATGATGCCATTTACCTACACTTTTTTAACCTAATAATAATAAATTTTTCCATTCATTTGATCTTATCCTTACTACATAGTTCTTTATAGATATTTATAAGTTTGCATAGTTTACATAGATATATCTTAACTAATGACAAAATCAACTCAGATTAAAGTATGTTAAGGATCTAGTTTTTAGATAATATTGATGTGTCTAGATTTATAAAAATCTTAATATTTTCCTATTGTATCGATAGTAACGATCATTTCGACGCTTGGATAAGGTCATGCATTGTCCATTAAAATCTAGATGATTTTATGACTTTTAGTAAACTATTTTTAAGATGTTATTAACATTGCCATATTAAAAACACATTAGCCAAAAAAGTGTTCAAAAGTGATTAAAAACGTGTGACTCTAAAAAATACATGTGATCGTACACCAAACAAATAATGACGTCACGAACAAATGAATAGCGTCAAAAGAGCACCATTAAAAACAATAATTTACTTGGCTTAGCGTTGATATTATTTATATATTATTACATTATTTAAATGATGCTAAAAGTAGTTTACACGCTGTAGTAAATGCTATGACCTGACTTACATGATGATTTTTGAGTTAGGTCTAGTAATATTCATAACAGTAGTAGAAGGTAAACATGAAATTTAATTGTCGGTGTTTGTTATTATAGGTATGCATTTTCTCAAGTTGTTAAATCAGTGTTTTTATTATTCCTTACTCAGAATATTTGGTTCATTTTTTTCAAGTTTGACGTATGGGAGGGACATGAAAAAGTAATAACGAAATAGTAGACTGTACAGTGAACACGGATTTGTAGTTATTTCTTATGGATATGAAATTTGATCCGTGTAAATTGTAGTTCTCTAGTGGACATTAAGCAAATGAGTTCTGGAAATTCCCAAGTGCATAAGGAACAATTTACAACCCTATTTACAGATTATTATTTTCTAACTATCCAAGAATATTATATATCACTAAGTTTTCTTTTAAAGTTGTTATTGCAATAATAATACATAATGTAATTAAAATTCACCATTTCAAAACCGGAAGTATACGTATTAGATTTATTCCAGCTTGCGTTTTGATATACGGGCAATGAGCATTTTTCTAAACAGTCCTGTAAAAGGAAAGATTGAAAATGTTTAAAATTCTTAACACTTTTTTTATTTACATTTCTTTATTCTTCGTTATTAACTTCCCGTGAGAGCGTAAAATTAGTAAAATGTATTATAATTAACCACTCTGTGTGAAAGTTTTGAATTAAACAACCCTTTTTTGGTGTTGTAAATTCCAACCAAAATTTTATTGATTATTTTTTCCAGAATTCTTAATTGAAATTAATTTTTTTGACGTCACAATGATAAACTTGGTATGCTTGTTTTGCAAAACTGCTGCAGCGTTAATTTTCGTGTTCATTTTTACAATGGGATTCCGCGAGTTTGTTTTACGCCAGTTAAGGTAAGCTAATTGCATCGAGGGTTATTGTTAAAATGTTTACTTAGATTTTCCGACAGTAATAAAATAAAAATAAAATAACAAAAGTCGACCAGTGTTACTATACTCTCCGACTTGCGAGGTTCACAGCTTTGCAATGTTTACTCTCACATATTCAGACTTTAAAAATGGATTAAGTGTAAAACAATGATTTGAAACCTTCGAGAACGAATGCGTGCAAATTGTAAATATGCCGGTTTAATATTTTAAAATATTCAAGACTAATTTAGAAAAATATCAGTAAGTACGTTTTGGATGTCCAAATTCCTGTTCTCCTTAATTGGCAAATATAGAAATCCTATCACAATTTTTTTTTGTGTGGCTTTGTTATAATGTTCATGTTTAAATAAATAGGCGCTGAAATGTTTAATTGATATCGTACTAATTGAAGTTTTCCGAATAAAAATCGATTTAGATTAACTTGTACGGCGATTTATTGTTAACTGTTCCGTATTTTGGACAACCACAAACTTCTTTAGCTGCTTCAATTAATTACGACAGGTGATTTGATACTGTATTAAAATGGATCAATAAAATTTGATTAAATGTGCGTCGTAAATGGGACACGTCAAACCTAATTTTACTAGTTTTATACAAACAAAACGAATGTTAACGTTGTATATATTTTTTCTAGAGCATTGTACACCTTAATTAATTGTTTCCAGGTTTAAGTTTGTTCACCTGAAGTTGCGATAATCCGTAAATTGAACGTTGTGTTGATGTCTAACGTTGTTGAATGTTTTTTGGATAGTCAAAAGTGCAGGAACTTGAACGCATTTGGTGAAACATTAATTATATGCAGGTATGCTAATTTATCATGTAGAACAGACTGTAAAGTACTGTGTTGGTATTCTTAACATGCTTGACGTGAAATAAATATCGTAATTAGGTACTTATGTACAATATTTACGTAAAACGTTTTTTTATTTCTTCGTCGAATCTGGCTAGTGTTATATCATCGTAGTTTGTAATACGGTACGTAATTTAATTGTTTTTTATTCTAAAGGTTTTTTTTGTTTGTTTTAAAATATAATTCGTGTCAGACATTCTATTGGTTTGTTTACCACGTGGCTGTGGATTTTACGCTTCGTCTTAATGATGATTAGTTACAAATATATCAAATATCAAATTTTGGTGACACGATTGATGCAAAAGTGTAACAATCTAGCTTACGTTATTTGAAGGTGTCAAATTTTTTATTATAAAGTCAGGTCATATCAACGTTTATAATCGCTTTGTATGTACGATATTACAAAAGTGCTCTCACGGATGGAACAAAAATTTGCATGTATTTCGCACTTTTACCTGGCTAATGAGTATATTTATTTTGCATTATATCTGATGATAATTATGTTGTATTAGCGAATACTAAACATGAAAGTTAATTGATGTTTGTGGTTGTATGGATTAATACAGTTGTTACTAACGTATTATCTTTATATTTATTAAAGGGAAACGTACTATACGTTTTTATGGAAGTTTTACTATAATCGTTATCGGAGTCATTGCAGTATATTTTGTTATTTTTCGAACTCAAATAGTGGCGTTAGCTTAACCAAATTATGTATTATGTAGAACGTGGAAACTATTTAAAATATATTTAATAAATTAACAGTCAGCAAAATTGCAACTTTGCTAATTTTTCTTTGAATTTTTCGAATGGGAATCCCCGATTGTTTTGCCCACTGTATCTCACGAACTAATGTTAGCAATTAATATTAATGTTGGTAGATGTTAAGTATTTAAATTTTCCAACGTTAATAGCCAATTTGCTTTTGCGAAAATTGGGTTCAGTTTCACCGCAAGGCTTTACCTGTGTTTGTTTCGGATTTTCCGGAGGAGTAACTCCTGGAATTACATTTTTAAATATGAGTCATAATAAAGAAAATATTT